CACACAAAACCTTTAAATTTTTTATAGAAATCTTTTAAAAGTAGGAACAAGTTCTTTTTCACACATTCTTTTTCTGTAATTATTTTGTAGGAACAAAAGTAATGAGATGCCTTACTATTGTTCTTTCCTTCTGGATAATGGAAAAAAGCACAGCAGGTGAACAACCGCACGAAAACCCTTAGCAAAGTCTCAAGTGGAAACTTCTATTGTCACTTGGATTCTGTAGGGAGGAGGCCACCATTATTTTATTATGAAGTTATTAAGATGAAGGGAAGTGTTCAACTCTATAGGCTTTTTAGCTGGTGGATTTCCCAAGCAATACAAGGTCACTACTTCAAGAAATAGTCACTACTAATCAGTGCAGTCACAGGGAAGTAATGGTAGCAAGAGCAACCTATCGATAAAGTGATATTATGCCTCTTCCAAGGTCCTGATAGAAAAAGATTTTATAGCTTGAGAACATTTGAACCTCTTTCAGATAAATGGTAGCAGGCATGATTTCCGAATGATAGCAGATGTTGCAGTTGTTTGTAAATATCCCTGTGCTTGTGAAATATTGAGACATTTCAAGCCTAGATCTTAGAAGAAATTTTATTGTTTTTCCTCAGATATACTTGGGGGAGTTTCATCAGTCGAAGTTGGATAATTGATTGCACTGATACCAGAACTGAAATAAGACATTAAAGCAAGGTAAGCTTGAAATTCTCATCACTAACATCCTGACAGACAATTTTAAAATATCTGTGAGGTTCTGTTTTGCATGAAAACACTTGTGGTTTCATCAGGTGGCTGAGTTCTTTGGTTTAAATAATGTGGAAGGGGCTAGGACTTTCATCACTCACTCTGTGGCATCTGTCTACACTGTTAAATAGGAGACAGAATTCCCTGGAGTCTGTGGCAATCCTTTAGCCTCCCTTGTGCAGTACTGCTCCAAGATTCCATATTCAGCAGTGTCCATTTGCTATACAGTGGCTTTTTTTTTTTTTTAACCATTACACTTCTTCCAAAGTTGATCTAAACTGATTAGCTTTATAGCACTAAATAAAATGTCGACATTTTTTGAGTTCTTATACTCGCTCAAATGAGGAAACAAGTGATTGAAATGATTGCCCGAGGAAACTAAGATCGTGTTCCTATATTAGAACTCAGCTCCTAGGAGATGGAGTTCTAAAAGCATGCCTCCCCCCGCCCCCCGGCAATAAATTGTACCAGCAAGCCATCGAAACGGTGTGCTCTGTTTTTTTTCCAGAAACTTCTCCATGCGTTGGAAATACCATTCAATTATAGAGAATACTAAGGGTTATCAGTCACACTCATTAGGAGATTATCGATTTGAATAAAAGGATCCTGAAGAAGAAAATATCAGATTTATGTGACATCTTTTCTGCAGCTGTATCTGTATGTTTGTGATGAGTGTGTGCACGGACAGAAGTAGTAGACACACATACGTGGGCGATTGCTTGAAGTGCAGCCATGTGCTTCTGTTTTTCTCTTTGAAGAACACTCAGATGTAAGTTAAAAATTGAAGGGTGGCTGTATTTAGTGGGTAGCTGTATACTCGGTGTATGCTGCACACAGTAGGGAATGAACATAAAGCCAGAGAAAAAGCCTCAACACTGCAGCTATATGCATTAATTAAAAGAAGTTTGTTAAACTAAATTTGAAAAAAAACTTCTTTAATTGTGTTTACCCAAAAGCCTTTTCTTCCTAATTTAAATAGCATAAACATCTGGACTAAAGCAATATTAGAATCATGGCAGTAGTCAAGCAAATCTTGTGGAAAATAATGAAATTAGATCCCTGGTGTTGTGACAGAGTAAGGGCAGGATACATCAGTTCGATGTTAATAAAATTTCCATGAATGACTGAATACAATTAAGAAATTGTCAGTTGCAGCAATGAACTTTTGTAGCTCATAGATGTTTGCATCATTTGATTATGCTGGCAATTTAAAATTGTTTGTTAGTGTCTGTGTTGGGATATTAATTATGACCTTTATTACAGCCCACAATTAAACTAGTCATATAGCAACAAGCAAACTGTGTTGTGAGGCTAAAGGATATGAACTATTTCGAGAGGGGTCTGTGGGGTTGGGGGCCACTAGGACCCTTTCAAACTAGAAATAATTTTTAAAAGATGAGTTGTTGAGGAGCGACTGGGAGGAGGAAGCCCTCTAATACAAGAATTTCTTTTTAATAGTGTTTTAACAGTTTTAATTGCTAACAACATCTGTAAAACGGGAAAAAAAGCATTTTTAACTGTGACTCTAAGATATGCTTTCTCTGTTCAGGAAGAGAAAACAATTATTCATTGGTTAATTAGCTGTAAACAACTTTTAAAAGACACATCCATTATATATGTAATTATTTGAAAAAGGCTTTAATGTTATTTGTTCTAATGCATAATTATTAGTGCTTGCTAAAAGGATTAACAGTGCTTAGATGACCACCATTGCCGAGAAGGCGCGAAGAGATGAGATTACCATCAGGAGGGGGGTGTGCGGATGAACAGGACAGCAGGGTGTGCTTTTGCATCTTTTCTCCTGTGCGCTCTTCGGGAGAGGTCGTGTGGAGTCACATGGTATTTCCCCAAACAATGCGCTTCCAATTCACTTAACAATAGTTTCTCATCTGTATGTTTACAACAAACAAAGAGAATATCTCTCTACATAAGTGTTTATTCCTAAGAGTCACATTGCCGCTAAAATTTATTTATTCACTTTTCCCCCTCCTAAATCAACACTAAATTATAGTTTAAGCCTATGGTGATTGAAAGAATGAATTTGCTACTGAGAAGACGGTGAACTGCTTAGTCTCGTTTGCGCTCACAGTGGCCTTGATGTGGTGCTTATTAGGTCAGCATATGTGGCATATTTGCTATTTCACAGCAATTGGTAGGAATCAAGCATAATGAAGACAGAAACAGTTTGACCTGGTGCTGTCATTTCAGTTGATGAAGTCCACCACTGACCAGCTTCTAGGATTTAGGGATTTGGGTTAAAACAGAATAACTTCAACATCTCAAAGTCCAACAGTTTAGGTATCGGCTCTTCCTGCTCTCCTTTTCCTAATTACATTTAGCTACTTGATCCCATTATTGCAAAGTTTCCAAATTGTACATTTATTTTTTTGTGTGTGTGATTTTTGATAAAGATTATTACATAGCCTGGGGGCAAACCCAAGGCCTTTTGCTATTAGAATTGCCTCATTTTACGTGGTTCAGAGTTTGGCGTTGGCTTTCTTGCCTTGGAAGTTTGGATTGATTCCATCCAAGAAAAGAGTGTTCTCCTGTAGTAATAACTGAATGACTAGTCTCCGGTTTTAGGGCCTGCATGCCCCAAGGTTCTCAGAGTACAGTTAAAACAAAACGAAAAAACAAAAACAAAAACTCAATAGTGCTGACTCACCCTCTGTGTGTCTCCTTAAGCTAAATGTTTCCTGTGTGAAGGCCACTATGATAAGAGACTTTGCCAAGAGCACTATGTAGTCAGAAATACTGCACATTCTCAACAATACAGCCTTTAAAATCCTTGATCAAGTTTTCTGCTCCTCCCTGAGGAGTTTTTGTCCTTGTGAGTCATTCCAGCAACGGCGAGCAACACAATTCCGAGCTTAACATTTCTGTAGCAGTTGACATGAGTGAAGATTTCGTCTTGAGTGTTGTAATCATCATTTGTAAAGCCAAGACTTACACCGGGCTGCCATGCTAGCTAAGGGAGTTGCGCCTCAAGACCATCGTGAGACATTATTTTGGTATGCTTTTGCCTTTGAGTTGACTCGAGCACCAGCAATGTGCTGGCTTATGAGATCCTTCCTCTCAATTGCTCTGCCGTACCATGTTTACCTCGCACCCTAAACATTTCATAGGTGCTCCGCAGACATTTACCCACTAGCTCATTTGTTTCTTACATTAAAAAATCAAATTCAGAGCCGGGCGTGGTGCCGCATGCCTTTAATTCCAGCACTCGGGAGGCAGAGGCAGGCGGATCTCTGTGAGTTTGAGGCCAGCCAGGTCTCCATAGTGAATCCAGGACAGCTGGGGCTATAAGGAGACCCTGTCTCAAAAAGACCAAAAAAAAAAAAGTCAAATTCAAACACAGTCTTTGGCATTGGGGGTGGTGTTGAAACGGATGCTGCAGCCTGTTATTTTCATTAGTTGACGGGGAAATTATTACATTTTTAGGGATTTGTGAGTTTCAGCAGAGTTGATTACTTTGAATGTTGGGGTTTTGCAAATGGGAAGCCTTGTTGCTCCATTTACTAATTTATTTTGTGATCTGTGACTAAACTGAGTAAAAATGCAAATAGTACAAGGCCCTTTCCATTTTATCACCGGATCAGTTTACTGATGGGAGGATCAGAGTCACTAAACATGCCAACACTCAGGGTTCCTAAGTAGTTGGGCATTAAAAGCAGCTACAGTAAAGACTCTAGGAAGATTGCCATGATTCACACAGGGAGGTTTAAATGAAATCTAGTTATTTATTTTAGGTTTAGAATGAAGAGTCTCCAGCTCAGTTTTATTGGCCATTGTGATGGCACAGACAGGTCTGCTCCCCATCACACGCGACAATAAACCACATTGCTGGGAGGTAGGAAATTCACGCAAAAAAGGAAAGCATTTGGCAAAGGCTGAGTGAGTAACGCTGCAAGCTTTTAGAAGGACTCTGAAATGCCTTTGTCAACTGCTGCGTCTTAAAAATTGAAAATCGCATTTCTGATTCGTTTTCTTCTTTTGCATTTGGTGAGGATCAAATATGTTTCTTTAATATTCATGATATTAAAATAATTCATGAAAATGCATTTCTTTCATATGTACATATTAGTATTTTCAGTGAAGTCAGGTCATCAAGGGAACATCAATAAAGGACATTTACTGTGATATGGTGCGTTGCTATGAATGTTTAGAAATATTGTGGGTCAAATGAAATTCCAGCATGTTTTAATCAGCCTTTAACATGAGATTTATTCTGAAATCTGGTAGAGGAAGTGTGAAATTCCCAGTGGCCTTATATAGACTAAAATATCTTTATGTTGAAAGGATGGGAGACATGTTCCCAAATGGGAAGTCTGATCCCTAAAGGGATCAAAAGCCTGGATTTATCATCTTAAGACTTAATTATATGAAAAGCTCTGATGTGGCTTAACAGTTGGTGTGTGTACCATTGTATTTTCCGAATGTCTCTTCTTTAAAAAAGTATTGACTCAGACCAAGTGATGTAGCTTATTTGTACACTGGGTCAGAGGTTGAGTTGTGTGAAGTTTACACAGGCAGCTCTACAATCCCTCACCCAGAACCCCTGGGGCAGATGTATTTCTGCATTCAGGAGATTTCTTTTAGAAAGGTAATATGGTACACACACTACAGATTATGCAATATCTCCAGCTGGGTCTGGGGCAGCACCCTATAATCAAACACATTCATGTTTCTGCATTGCAACGTATGAATATTCACACTGAGTGGGATAAATAAAGATTCAAAATAATCTTCTTGAAATTAGTTCAGGTCTGGTTTTGCTGCCACATGAGTTATGAAAAGCCTTTTAAAGCTTTTTGTTTTTAGAACCGCAGATGGGAGACTGTGGGCCAGTCTTTCTGTGCTTGCTCACCCCTCTGAGTTACCTTTGCTGACACAGTTTCTAAGTTTTATTTCATTTGGATCAAAATGGGTTGGTGTAATCAAACAAATAA